TCCTGCTGATGTGACATGGCAGAGACTTCCCTGAAGCAGGGTTCATTAACCACTCAAAGCTTCACTATTCTTTCCTTATTTTTAACTTTAAAAATGGAGATTTCTTTCTATTTCCATAGACAGATGTTTTAACCACAGTCATAGCTTTATATCTTAATGAACTTTTTTGGGGGGGTTATGAAAATATAGTCAAACAAAAAACTAAGTTCTCAGTTTCCTCCCTGATGGTTTTTCATCATTCTCCTCTGGCTGTTGTTTTGAAAAGGTAGTACTTTAAAATGTTCAGTTTGTTCTACTTCATTTGCTGCTCTGGGGTAGGATGTTTCTACATAACAACACTTCTGTTCAATCAACCACGTGATACAACTGAGGTCCTAAACCTTTTAAGCCACTCTTGTTCACAGAAGCAGTAACAGGCAAGCTTCCTGCAGCAGCATTTTTCAATGTAAGCATATTGCAAATAGAAAACAAAAAGATGCATTCAAAATGACAATTAAAAGAATCTGGATGAATTCTGCTATAACACAGTATTTATAGGCACACAGCTTTCTTACAAATATGCTATGTAATACTTTTTTATTCACCAGTGAAATTGATAATAAGAAAGCAAACCCTACTTATTAGCTACAATACAGACAGTTCAGTAATTAGTGAAATATTGACTGTTCAAAATTCAAAAGAATGTAGTGATGGCTCTTTATTTTCATTACAAACTCTTTACACATAAGGAAGCCACTACATCTTTCATATCATTGACAGTAACTGTGCAGATACAGTTGTGCTGCCAGAGTGCAAGAAAAACATGTCACAATGCTGAGAAATCATGTATCAGACAACCTGTCAGCTACAATTTTGAGTAAAAAAGTCCATTGAGATGTTTCTTTTGACATTGGACTGCTTCTGGATTAGTCAGGGCTTTTTCAACAAAAAGCAAGACCATATTTTAAAGGAAAATGGAATTTCTCACAAAATTATATTCCAATAGGTGGGACATTAAGATGACCACCTTCTGTAGCAGGGTGTGTGATGCAACTGGGAGAGCTTAAAACATCTGGTTGAACTACACTGCATTGTGGGTGAAGTTTATCAACATTCATGCTCTGCCCTGCAATGCAGTAGTGTTATGTTGATAGCTGGAACAAGCAGCAGGATGTTTTGTTCATCCCAGTAAGGAACCTGTAATGTGCATTTTCTATGGGAAATGAATGTTAATGCTTGGGCTAAGAGCTCTGAAAGAGAGTACTGCCATTTACATGAAGAATACAGTATTACTGTTTTAAAATAAATAATAGTATCTAGACTGAACAAATACTCCATGCTTCTTTCAAATTAGAACTGAGCAGCCAGACTCTGAAGACTCCTAAAGTTCAGTACACACAGACAAATTAATCCTGCTCTACATTAAATGGGTTATTGTTATTCCTTAGTCCTGCTTTTAGAGCTTCTGCTTGGGGATTTGTAGCCTCCTTGAACTAGCAATGAATGAGGCCAGTAGAAGTACTGCTTACTTTTGTGCAAACTAGAAAGTCTCCCTCTGCAGTACAAGGAGATTGGTATGTACTAACTCCCACAGTACTTAGTGCCGGGCACTTGCATCATCATCATTAACAAATACCTCAACCTCCTTCTCAACCTGTGAAAATTCTGACAGTTGGTCTCTGTTGTCTTTCAGCACACTGCAGAGACCTCTGTTCATGTGCTGGTGCATGGGGAAAGCCAAAATGTTTCACATTCTGTAGAAACTCTGATAAGCCTTCTTTTCTTCTTGTATGTTTTCAGTCAGCCTTCTTACCTGCCAGACATAGTCTCTAGCTCCTGCTATTGTAGTCTTTTTACTCCATTTGAACCAAAATAAATACAACAAATAGGTAATGAAAAGTAGGCCTTCTCTTTGCCTGCACTAGAAACAGTGTTAGGCAGTACTACGGAAACACAAAACCTCATCTAATTGATTTGCATTGCACAGGTAAAAAAATTAGATGCAATGAGCAGGATAAAAAAAAAGTAGAAATACTTGGGTGGGAAAACAAGAACCAAAAATAATCTGCACTTGAAACTGTCACAAAACAGTATATTAGCAGTACTTAATCAAGATCAGAAAGCAAAACAGTTCATTTCTCTGTAAGTTATAAAATCCTTCTGGTAAGTGACATTCTGGAAATATTCAATAGCTCATAACTGGCTGACTTAATGTTTTACATGCAGGAAAGATGGCTAGAAGAGCAGTAATCAGCAGAATAAGTTGGTTTCATAGTTGAGCTTTGATGAGGTGTTACACA